CCGCAGTGGCAGCCGAGGGGCAGGCCAAGGCCCCCGGCCCGCCGAGCCCGGTCGAGCCGGCCGCCTACTCGCCGGGCGTGGGCCCACCGGGAGGCCCGCCGAAGGCGGGGGGGCCCGCAGGATTGAACGACTACGAGAGGGAGACTCGGAACCAGGCGTACATAGCCATAGCGGTGGCGCTCGTCATCATTATCTCCGTAATCGTGTCGCTCCTCAAGGTCGAGAACCAGCTCGAGAACGACGGGACTAGCTAAATTCGAAGAATCGGTTCTATAAATTATATATATAATTATAATTATATATATGTTTGCTATAATGTAATTTGTTGCGTTGTGTTTGAGCAAGATCAAAGGGAATGTGTACACCAAAATTTGAATGAATTCAAGGAGGGAAATGAATTAATACTTTTTTTCCCTTAATATAATTGAGCTAAATCTTCATGAAATTTATATGTACTGTGTTTCATTTCATTTTGGGAATTTGATTCTTAATTTTTTCATGTATTAATCTTAAAAGAACTTGATATCCGAAGTTTCAATAATATGATAATAAATTTGACTTATAATAAATTTTACTAATGTTCAAAATTTTAAAATGTGTACCATTAAATATAACTTATAATTATATTATTATATGGATACATATAAATTATAATATTTTAGTTTTTTTACATTATAATATTTTAGTTATATGTGTGTATTTAACCAGGATCAGTACTAATTATATGGTTACAAAAATTGTAGCTTTTAATGATTGGGGTAGGATAATTTTCTAGGTCTTATACATGACTGGCCATTATAGAAGCCCAACTTAGACCACATTTGTCATGCAGATATGGGCCACCCCAACGAGTGTGCTAATTAATCCTCCATATTTGACTAAGAAAATGAATTTCGCTTGGAAATTTAGAATAACACGACTTAAAATTAATTAATTGTGCTTGAATACTATAAATTCACTGTCACTAGCATGGATTAATTATCAATTTATCATGTGGTTGGCTAACTCATGTCGTGTTTGACCTACAAACCTTGAATCATAAGCAGCCAGACTGTACGAAATCAAACACTATTTGTCCACTCGAATTAATTTTTAAATCGAAATTGCGTGAAAGAAAATGTTGCCGCCCATTACGGAATTATTTTGTCGGGGGTTTGTAATCATTAGATCAACTATTTCCCGATGGTTACATGATGATCTAACGGTTACAAATTTCGAAGGAATGGTTTCGTCGAATAATTCTTTATTTGAAGGGTACTCGGAGTCAGAGTATTCTTCTTCGTTCAGATTGTGACTTGCAGATTAACGGTTGGTGAATAATAGGCTGACATCTTCATCCTATTATATATGTGAAAATATCTTCTTCTTATTTTCCCAATCTTTGCTCTCACATTTGAACTACCAAAAGCAGTAGAGTATAATTAAGTATAATAATGCCACAGCTAAAGTTCAAATTTTTCATAAACACACAAACACAAACAAACAACACAATTGTAATATTCTCAATTTACACTTTACAGACATAACCTAATAAGTAATACATTTTTTTTTTTTGC